CAGTAAGAGTGAAAAACATAATTTTGTTTGTTTATTTGAAGATGATTACATCTAGATTTATATATCCATTCATTCTGCATTTGATGGTGAAACAATTTCTGAACCTATAATTAGCCTAGAAGTGTCACTGACCTACAGTTTACTTGTATTTTTTGTTCCCCTTAGAATTCTTTCCCAAGGTAGCTAGCTCCTCATCTTGATAGTATAGAATCCTTGAAAGAAATTTTTTAAACAAATGAGCATACTCTTCTACCCAGAAAGAAATCTGTGAAGTATACAGTTCATCTTCACTTTTAAGTTCTAGCTATGTTCCTGTCGATATTTTTATAATTTCCATCTGTAATCATTCACTCATTCATCTTCATTTATTCAACACACTTGAGGGCCTAATAGACACTAGAGATACAGATGTGATCAAGACAGAAAAGGTTCCTGCTCACGTGGAACTTATAGTTCAGGAATAAGAGACAGGCAATCTTTTAAAAGGGAAAGAACACAAAATTAGATGTTGCAAGTAGGATACATGAGAAAACAAAGCAGGATAACTAAATAAAGAGTCCTAAGGAGCAAGTATGTCTAAAAGTCACCCTAGGTAGAATGGCCAGGGAGAGTCCCTTGGAGGACATGTGCTTTGAGCAGATACCCAAATGATGGGATGCAGCCAGCCTGGGGAAGGAGGCCCAGGCAGGAAGACCTCAAGCGCAGACGCCCTTCTGCAAGAGCATGCATTCTATGTGCCAGGAGTTCAAGGAAGGCTCGTGAGCAGAGTACCTGTACAGAAGAAGGAAAGGAGATGGAGTGGGAGAGGAATTAAGAGTCAACTTTTATTTTCGGTGGGGAAGGGTGGTGTTTAGGAGTCGAGATTTAATAAGCAAAAGAAAGAGAAAGGAGAAGAGCTCTTTCTTTGGTAGAGAGAGAAGGGTGCCCGAGCAGGACTTTCCAAAAGTTAACTCCTTAATATTAACAGGAAAACAGCACAGTTTAAAGCAGTCTGCTATTCAGCATTCAAGTGAGGCTCATATCTCTCTCTCTTTTTTTGAGGAATTTGATTTGGAAGGAGGAATTTTTTTTTTTTTTTTTTTTTAGGAATCGTCTGTTTGGAAGGAGTCTCATACACCATTCATTTAGAGATCAATTTTGTTTTAGCTTTTTTTCAACTGTAAAAACATTGCAAGTTCAGATGATTACCTTGAGATAGTCATCTGAGAATTTTAACTGTGCCTCAATTTTTTTTGTTGTTGTTTGAGATGGATTTTCGTTCTTGCTGCCCAGGCTGGAATGCAATGGTGCAATCTTGACTCACTGCAACCTCTGCCTCCAGGGTTCAAGCAATTCTCCTGCCTCAGCCTCCTGAGTAGCTGGAATTACAGGCATGTGCCACCATGCCTGGCTAATTGTATTTTTAGTAGAGACAGTGTTTCTCCATGTTGGTCAGGCTGGTCTCGAACTCCCGATCTCTGGTGATCCACCCACCTCAGCCTCCCAAAGTGCTGGGACTACAGGCATCAGCCACTGCACCCGGCCTGTGCCTCAATTTTTTTTTGTCTATTAATTAAAGATAGCATAATTGATTTACTTTCATTCACACACGGGAATTGCTGTTGATACAAAATTACTGTTATTAGAACAAATTGTTAAATCCTACCCTTTAATTTTGATAATTACACAAGATGCAGTGATGTGCAAAGATGATGCAGAATCTACAAGCCACTATTCTACAGAGATAAATATTTTTCTTCTTCTCTTTTCCCACCAAAATTAATTTGGAGCCAGAAGCACAATGGCAGCTTTGAAGTTGAATTGGCAGAGGTCATCCAGGAAGACAGTGAAGGAGTTCCAGGAGGCAAGGATGGGAATGGGTTATGTTTTTGCAGCCAGACATAAAAGATATGAAATTACCATTGCTTTTAACAGGGACCAGGAGAGGGGAAGTTAGAGAATATGTGGGGAATATATATTTCTGTGTATGGAAATAGCATAGAATTTATTCACCCACTTGGCAAAATATTAATTAACCCTGTACTATGTGCCAGGCACTGAGCCAGGTCTGGGGATCCTGGTGAGCTAAACTGGACATAATCCCCATGAGGAAATGACCCCTGCCTCCATCCCCTTCAATTATATGTATATGTCTTATATCAATGTTCAATGGTGGTACCCTCAGTTAGTTGTTTTATTGAGATTAATATGAGGCTATATCTTGTGGGTAGGAATCTACAAAGCCTGGGAGCCTTTTTCAAAAGAAAATTGAGGGCCAGACATGATGGCTCACACCTGTAATCCTAGCACTTTGGGGATTGAGGCAGAGGGATCACTTAAGGTCAGGAGTTCAAGACCAGCCTGGCCAACATGGTGAAACTGTGTCACTACTAAAAATACAAAAATCAGCCAGGAGTGGTGACAGGTGCCTGTAATCCCAGCTACTCAGGAGGCTGAGGCAGGGGAATCTTGAAGCCGGGAGGCGGGGGTTGTAGTGAGCAGAGATGGCGCCACTGCGCTCCAGCCTGGGCAACAGAGCGAGAGCCTGTCTAAAAAAAAAAAAAAAAAAAAAAAAAAAAATTCCCAGAGTTAATCATCCATGAGAGTTGTCCAATCATGAGTGAGAAAAAGGGGATCTGGAAGGAGCCATTTTGCTGGAGAAAGGGGGAAGGAATTTCTTCTTCTCGCATGCCTGTGAAAGTAGTCAGCAGGAAGCTTGGTGGGGTGTCAGCCCTGGGAACCCGATGGCCACTGATTTCCTCTTTCTGGACCTTTAATGGCATCTTGATGAAGCAGCCTGGTCTCCACTGGGCTGTGGTAAGCTAGATCAGGGTCTCTGTCTGGGCCTTGGCCAGGGTTGTCAATGGGAAAGCAATGCTCACCCTCTAGAGTCAGCATGTGGCTGACAGGAACCATGATTGAGGTCCCCAGGAGCAGGTCAATGTCCTGGTCCGGAGGTCCAGCTACCCTTCTTCATCTGGGAAATCTTCTTCCTCTGGTTGTTATTTCTGCACACCTAAGAGAGCTAGCTGCGTTCCTTTTTTTTTTTTTTTTTTTTTTTTTTTATCTGAGACAGGGTTTTGCTCTGTCACCCAGGCTGGAGTGCAGTGGTGCAATCTCAGCTCACTGCAACCTCTACCTCCAGGCTCAAGTCATCCTCCCACCTCAGCCTCCTGAGTAACTGAGACAACAGAGGAGCACTGGGTTTTGCCATGTTGCCCAGGTTGGTTTCAAACTCCTGGACTCAAGTGATCCTCTTGTCTCGGCCTCCCAAAGTGCTGGGATTACAGGTGTAAGCCACTGCGTCTGGCCTACCAGCTGGGGTCCTTACAGGGTAGATTACCTTATTATTTCAACCATGTGTTTGTTAGTTATATTAATTCCATATTTAGTTTAGGTATATCTAAAGGCTATAAAATATTTACCCTTTGAACAGCAAACAGGGAGCCTAAGGCCACTGTCAATGCAAGACTGGCAGAAACAGGACCCAACTGGCGTGTGACATAGAAGTGATCTAAAGAGCGGCTAGTTGCTTTTAAATGTCTATTTTTATGGGAGGGGCAGAGATATCATAGACAAGAACAACCTCAGTAAAACTGTTATTTTAAATTAAAATTTTTAACTCGATTGAATGTAACAGCCCGTAAGTACCCAGTGATTTTCATGATCACCAAAGCATTAGAAAACATGCTGAAGCTCTTCTTCCAGTGTGTGTGGAAAAAGAGTGCATGGTGCCTGCATGATACTCGAGAGCAGGGGCAGAAGGGCGGTCTCCTTTCCTTGTGGTTTGTACGTGTGCAAGTGTGTGTAAGTGCCCCATTACCAGAGGTGTCCCGGACAAAGGTCACTTTCTTCCTTAAGATGATAAAGTTTCTAAGTTAAAGCTTGTTCAGAGTCATGTTGACTTCTCCTTCTTGAGCCGTTATGTAACTTTCTGTTTACAGAACTATCAACCATTATTTGTGCTGTTTGTGATGTCTTTTGAATGCTGAGCAGCTTTTTCTCCCCCTCTCCCCGCCAGTATAAACTGAATGAAGGGCATTGGTATTAGAGAAACCAGAAATCACAATGCATTTATTAATAAGGGATAGGACAACAACCTCCTTTCCTTTCAAGAATAAAAGAGTCCAACAAAATGCACACATGTTGGAGTTAAGGACTGGACACTTTTTTTATTTTTATCTTTTTTTGAGACAGAGTTTCACTCGTGTTGCCCAGACTGGAGTGCAATGGCGCAATCTCGGCTCACCACATCCTCCACCTCAAGCAATTCTCCTGCCTCGGCCTCCCAAGTAGCTGGGATTACAGGCATTCGCCACCACAGCTGGCTAATTTTGTATTTTTAGTAGAGATGGGGTTTCTAAATGTTGGTCAGGCTGGTCTCAAACTCCTGACATCAGATGATCCGCCTGCCTTAGCCTCCCAAAGTACTGGGATTACAGGCAGGAGCCACCAAGCCCAGCCTAAAAACTTTTTTTAACCGAGTATCGAGGCAGTTCAGCCTGCTGGATAAGATAAGGAGCGGGAAGATTCTAATGCCGATAATGGAATATAGAGAAAGTTGTTTATTCTAACCGTTCTTCAACGTGCTCATCTTTGAAGTAAAATAACCCTCGACATGATTTTGTGGGAATAAAAAGTTGAAATAGTTTGTACAAAGCTAGGTTCTGTTTGCCTAAAGGGTTCCCTTTGTGAACAAAACATCTAAATTTAATATTAGCACAACCAAATTTAAGTATTTCCCTGCGACTACAAAAACAGAAAAGATGTGTTCCCACAAAAGCTGCTACACAGCACTTTCCTGTCCCCAGAAGTAGCACAGAATCTTAGCATTGCAATGGAAAGCATGTATTTGTCAAATATTCTAAAATCAGGTCTATAGTTTCTTTCTACTGTTTGATAAGGGATCAGACAGAGGGTGTGTTCCCCTCCAGCAGCTACCCTTCTTGACAAACTGGTCTCCAACAATACCTTTCAGAAACTTACAAAACTTCCAGAATGAAAAGAGCACACGAGGTTGGTTGCATTCAACTTAAATGCTTTTATTGACAATGTCTTGGAACAATAAGCAAACAATGCTTAAATTTTTCATTCAAATTCACTTTCCACATGTCAAAAGACCTCAAGGTAGAAAAAAATAAAATAAAAATATAAATATCTGATAATCCATCTTAATAAATAAATTAAAAACACAATAAAACGTTTTCATGGAAAACTGTTAATGTCAGAACATTCAGACCACCTCAACAATGCATGATCAGTAACATTACAATGAACATTGATGTTGAAGAAAAACTACAGTACATGGATATAGCTAATTATTTCTATCTACCAGAAAATAAAGTCATATGTTTTCTTAGTTTAATATTGATCATTTCTAATCAGAACACACTATTGCCAGGAACACAGTAGTTATTGTTAAAATCAGCTGCACTAGATACAATTTGAAAATATCCAGCACCAGGTTAATTCCAATAATGAACCCAATAGATTAGTTAATGCTATGAGAAGACTAAGGAGAAAGAGAAAAGAGACACAGACCCAGGCCTGGCTCAACATGCTACTAACTACCAGCTCTCTGAAGTGTCACTGGGAACAATACACACTCCATGCGTTTTGCTACATCTCCGGAAGAGGTAAGGACTTGAGTCCACACATGGATGCTTTCAAGTCCTTGAGGCCCACAGCCTGGTGTGTTTCACGCACAGATAAGGTCCTCCCTAGGTCTACAGGAACCCTCTAGGGAAGACGTGTTTCTCCTCTCTGTAATGCACCAGCTCGGGCAGTGGCACTTGTGGGTGCCGGCTGCCTCCCCTTCTCTGCCCGCTCACAGGGCCAGCAGCGTGGGTGAGCTGAGCGAGTCAGAGGAGGGCTCATTGCTGCTGCTGCCCTTGCGATGGGCAGCTGCGCAGCTGGGGAAGGAGTCAGCCTCGGGGTAGGTGAAGACGAAGGAAGACGTATAAGCAGTGCAGCTGGGAGTGCAGGTGACCACCGGAGTGCACAGGGGCTCCAGCTCTGTGGCCATGGGCCCCATCCCCAGGGAGCCACCATGCAGGGGCTCCCAGTCTGCTGCATAGAAGGACCCAGACAGGTCCATGTCTGGCACAGAGCGGGCCGTCTCAGAGCCACTAGGCCTGGATGATGCTGGGAACAGGAAGTCATCAAAGGGCTCAGCTTTCAGCTCCATGCTGCTGATGCTCTTGACAGGCTCCACTGAGGGTTTGGGCTCAGGGTCATTGAGGAGAGGCAGGCTGAAGGCCTCCTCAGACTCCGGGGTGGCGGCCTCTGGCAGGCCCCCAGTCAGATCAAGGGAAGCCACAGACATGTCTTCTGGGAAGCCCAGGTCATCAGGGATCTTGCAGGCAGGTCGGTGAGCAGCCAGGATGAACTCTAGTTTTTCCTTCTCCTTCAGCAGGTTGGCAATCTCGGTCTGCAAAGCAGACTTCTCATCTTCTAATTGGTCTGTCTCCTGAATACAGAGGATAAAGGAAAGCATAAGACATAGTCTAACTCAGGGGCCCTTATGCCCAATCTCCAACTTTCCCCTTAAGTTTTAAAAAGGAGCAACCCACAGAGTCTACCTACCGCTTGGAGTGTATCAGTCAGCTCCCTTCTCCGGTTGCGGCATTTCGCTGCAGCCATCTTATTCCTTTCCCGTCGGATTCTCCTTTTCTCTTCTTCTTCTGGAGATAACTAGAATATTACAAAAAAGAGCAACACTCAGTAAAAGTGTCTGCCATCACCTCCATTCACCCACCCCGGTAGAACTGGCTCCTGCAGCTTCCCAGCTTCCTGGCACCCCCCTGTGAAGCCATTTGTAACCTGCAGTTGCAGACTAGGTGTGACTTGCATTTGAAATAAGATCCTCAGCAAGAGAACAAAGAAGAGCCCAGTCTAAAAGCACGCAGTAGGAAACTTAGAGAAGAAACTAGGAGAGTACTTCTTAGGGTGAGACTCAGAGTCTGACTTGGGATGGCTTGGAGCCAGGGTTCCCAGTTAGGGAGGTGCAGTCAGCCCCAGTGGCTTTCACCCTCACTACTGGGCTCCTCCATCTACCTCCAGGGCTGCTTCCCACCCAGCCCCCACCTTCCCAGGAAAGGTACGGAAGAGCCCCTCACCTGTTCCACTTTGCCCCTCCTGCCAATGCTCTGCGCTCGGCCGCCTGTCATGGTCTTCACAACGCCAGCCCTGGAGTAAGCCCCAGCGGAGGGAGTGGGGACTCCGAAGGGGTGAGGGGCTCTGGTCTGCGATGGGGCCACGGAGGAGACGAGGGCGGGCTGCACCAGCCATTGCAGGTCCGGACTGGTCGAGATGGCAGTGACCGTGGGAATGAAGTTGGCACTGGAGACAGCCAGGTCCGTGCAGAAGTCCTAGAACAAAGCAGAAGGGGAAAGCCGACGTGAGCGAGCGGGTTCCGGACACAGGTGGGGCGAGTTTCCAGTGCCGCATGCAGCAGCGAAGAGAAACGATCCTGCCACGGACGTTTCTTCTTAAATGTCCCTCATCCTGGATGAAAGGTCTCCCCCTTTTCCTCCCAGGCATTCCGCAGCGCGGTGCCTGTCTCTTCATCCTGCCGCTGCGTTCCCGTTATCCCTTCAGCATCCCTCGCTTGAAAGGGGGTTTGTTATAAATATCCCTGACGTCTGTGCTGACGCAGGCGCCGCTCCGGAGTCTCCAGAATGAACTCGCTTTTTATCAATGAAACTGCCTTACACACCCGCCCGCTGCACCCTCCTCCCTCACCCCTCCTCTCTGCTCCAGGCTGCCGGGGGAGGGGGGATTGTCACTTTCTGCCACCTCCCCGGAGAAGCCAGGCGCTAGTTAGTGAGTCTCTGCTTGGGACACGTCTTCCCCAGCTAATGTCAGAGACCCGTCCTGGAGTGCAAACCAGGGGTTGATCGGAACGAACCTGCCTCCGGAAGGGGGAACTAATTCTTACTATGGCAAGCGTGCGTGCACTCGGAGCGAGTCCCGAGCCCCCGAGCCGGCACCGCTCCGGCCACAGGCAGCGTCCCTCCCGGCACCAGGGAGCCCCCTACTCATCTCCTGGAGCGTCCCGCCCTGTGTCTCCTCTTCCGCGACCCCAAGCCCCCGGCCCCGCGGCGGCGCGAAGCCAGCCTTACCTGGCCGTTGACAGGCGAGCCCATGCTGGAGAAGGAGTCAGCGGGTGAGTGGTAGTAGGAGAGGCTGTCCCCGGCCGGGGACGCGCTGCTGCAGCGGGAGGAGGACGCCTCGTAGTCTGCGTTGAAGCCAGAGAACATCATCGTTGCGGTTAGGCAAAGCCGGGCGAGGGACCGAGGGGCGGAGACAGGTGGGCGCTGTGGAGCAGAGCTGGGTAGGAGCGCGGTCACTGCTCGCTCGTTCGCTGCGCCGCCGCCGCCGGCTCAGTCTCGGCTTCTTGGCTGCTCGCTGCAGTTGCGGTTGGAGTACGAGGCGCCGCAGCCACTGCTTTTATAGCAAAGCGGTTTTATGAATGAGTGAAACGTCACGGGCTCAACCACGTTGGCGCCAGAGGGGTGGTGCGCCGGCCTGGGCGCCTCTGCAGCCGCTTGGCCGCCTCCCCCGCGCTCGCAGCCCCCTACCCGCGCCTTGACACACGTCCTAATTCCATGAGCATTTCGCAGTTCCTGTCTCAGGGGTCTCGTGGGCCCCCAAAGATGAGGGGCTACGGGGATGGCTCCCCCCATGGCTACAGGGAAAGGCCGTGGAAACCTGCTGACGCAGATGTCCTAATATGGACATCCTGTGTAAGCGGGGAGGGATTGACGGGAACTGCTCGCGGGCTGCAGCCAACACCGAGGGTGCAGCGCTGGGGGAGGCGGGGGCCGCGGCCGGGGGAGGGGAGGCGGGAACGGCGCAGAATGCGAGAGAACATTCGCACCTGGTTCAATGCGGACCCTTGTTCCCGAGGCCGCAGGGGATGGGGCAGGGGGCACCTCTTTACTGTGCTACGAAAACTGGGGACAGTTCTGAGACTCAGGGATAGGAGAAACGGCCTCGGGTATACGGCCCGGAGGACTTAAGTCTCGGCTGCCAAAGGAATGTGCCCCTACCCGCATTCCCAATTCTGGCCCTAATTCAGTGCAAAAGGTGGAAGCAGACCCTCACCCCCTCGCCTCTAGCCCCCGGGCTCGAGGAATACTAGCATTGTTCCTGCGTTTGGAAGCAGAAGTGGAGATCCAAAACAAGAGAATACGATAACCTACTTTATCTACGATACTGGGTACTTTGTTTTTTTAAGGAAGACAGCGCATTTATTTATTTATTTTTCTCGGCCATGTGTGGGAATATTAACGAAACTGTCAAATCCCTGAGACACTAGCAGATAAACATTGTGCAAAACCTGGATGCGAAGACATTTGAAGGGGGCATTTGCCCAGTTCTGAGCTGGGGCCCAGGGCTAGGGAGTGCGGGGGTTGGTTATGTGGGCAGGGTGGTCAGTTTAGGATGACAAGGTGGGGTGTGCTTGCGGGGAACTCAAAATCTGCGCTGGGGGGCTGGTTCGGTCCCGCCAGGAAGCTGTGCTTACGGGAGTCCGCAGCGGGTGATTTTCCAGCGCGGACTTGAAGCGGGGGAGGACGGGGGCTGGAAGGACAGTGTCCACAGCGCCCAGGCGGAATACCTCGACCGCTGGGACCCCAGCGCTTCTCCAGGTCCTGGAACACGGGGTTTTGGGGAGGCAAGGTGCTCCAGAGTGTGCCACGCCCCCCAGCCTCCTGCCTTGCTGCGTAGGACAGCCGGGGTCACGCTGCCTGGGCTTGGCCCCAGCGCGCCGGCCACCTCCAAGGCGCGAAGACGCAAGTCCCCGCACAGCCCCGGTCTCCCCTTCCCCACTCTTAGGACACGCCCGGGGGTTGGGGCCCGCGGTGGGCACCTGGAGACGTGCGAGGCAGGATGAGGCCCGCGGGCGGATCGTTCGGGGCGCGCGGGGAGCGGGACCGCAGACCTGCCTCCAGCCGCCGCTCCCGGGAGCCAGGCGATCCTGCTATAGATAGTAACAGGGAAGCGGCTGTTTACAGCAACACAGCGCCGCCAGGGCCGTCTCCAGGCAACGCCGCGCGGCCGGGCGCGCCGCCGGCCTGGCGAGGCCACCCGCCCTCCCTGCTTCCCTGGGCCGCGGCCTCCCCGGCCCTGCTGCGGCCGCTCCCATCGCCTGACATCATCCGCCGGTCCGGGGGCTGAGCGGCCAGCGCGGGGCTGTGCGCTAACCTCCATTCTTAGAGATCCAACCCGGCTGCAGCGGGGAGGGCAGGAGGCGGGGATTCGTGGAACTGGGCCACTTGCTATTTTTGCATTCCCTGTCACAGGCAGAGGTGAAAACAGAATTTCATCATTGTATATCATTGGTTTATGTTGGTGGGAATTTAGGCGCTTTTTTTTTTTTCTCACTCATAAAAAGGGAGAGAAAAGGAAAAACACACATAATACGTAAACACGGATTCCTTGGAGCTGCTCTGAATCCTAAAGCAATTCTTCCGTACTCCTAATTCTATCCTTGATTACAGAAAGAAACAGGGAGACGGGAGGGAAAGGGGTTATGAAGGTAAATACATCTCTTATTATTAATATTAGTTTCAAACAAAATAGGTCAAGCTTTGAATTCCTGAGTCTGGCCTCGCCTGCCATTCACAACTAGATCTCAGGGCCACTTAAGAGAAAACCAGGTTGGGTGCAGTGGCTCCCTCCTGTATTTCCAGTACTTTGGGAGGCTGAGACGGGTAGATCATTTAAAGCCAGAAGTTCGAGACCAGCCTGGCCATCATGGTGAAATCCCCGTACCTGCTAAATATACAAAAATTAGCCAGGTGTGGTGGGCATGCCTGTAAACCCGGCTACTCAGGAGGCTGAGGCAGGAGAATCGCTTGAAACAGGGAAGCAGAGGGTTCAGTGAGCCGAGGTCATGCCACTGTATACTCCAGCCTAGGCAACAGAGTAAGACTCTGTCTCAAAGAAAATAAAAGAAAACCTAGAATGATTTGATTTACTTTTCTTTCAGGTCTAAAGCAGCTCTGCCAATACCTAAAAGATGTGTCAAGATTTTATATCCAGGATTTATCTCAAATACACTTATCCTGCCTCTGCCAATAAAAAAAGAGAAGCGTCTTTGAGTGAGCCTGTTTCCTCCAGATAGCTTAACTCTTTCCTTTCTGGCACTATTATGACCAGAGAGTTGGAAACTTAATAAATCCATCCTCCAGAAAGGACAGACCATGTGTCCATTTATTGTTTTATTTATTCAACAAAGAACTATTGAGAGCCTCCTATGGCCTGGCACTGGGCTGGACGCTGTTGCTCACTGTAATGAACAGGGTGGACCTGTCCCCACCCTGAGAGAGATTCCGGTCTCATGGGAAGACCAACAGTCAATAGAGCTTACAGGACAGCAGTAAGTGGTTTGATAGAGGTAAGAAAGAGGTGCCAGGAAACACAGAAGAAGGCTTGGAAGCAGGTCCCAGAGGAAGTGACTGCAACACAGAGATGGGTCCCATATCCTCTATTCTCTGGGTAATGGAATGATTGCTGGGCACGGTGGCTCACGCTTGTAATCCCAGCACTTTGGGAGACCAAGGCTGTCGGATCACCTGAGGTTGGGAGTTCGAGACCAGCCTGACCAACATGGTGAAACCCCATCTCTACTAAAAATACAGCCAGGCGTGGTGGCTCATGCCTGTAATCCCAGCTAATCGGGAGGCTGAGGCAAGAGAATCCCTTGAACCCAGGAGATGGAGGTTGCAGTGAGCAGAGATTGCACCATTGCACTCTAGCCTGGGCAACAAGAGCAAAACTTCATCTCAAAAATAAATAAATACATAAAATAAAGATTGAATAAGGCCATGGAATCATCCAGGCAAAGCAAGAGCTCACCCAGAAGCCGTAGTGTAGGCCAATACAATTTCAGACTCCCTCGCCTGCCCCACTAACATCCCAACCTATGATCACTCTAACATATTCTCACATCTCAATCTGCTCATGGTATCCATTTCAGGACTGCAAAATCACACTTTAAAAAGTGGAGCTCACACAAGGTAGCCTAAAAATGAAGACAAATCGGAACAGACGTGTGAAATTATTTTTGCCATTTGCAGAGGTCAGGGTGACTTAGAGACAGGTGCCTGTTTGTGTGCCTCCGTGAGCATGGCACCGCCTTCCAGCAGGGTGGGGATTTCGTGTTCTGGACAAGCCTGAGCATATAAAACCAAAATGTATGTAGTTTGTGATTGTCTATGATGTGCTGAGTTCCTCCTATCCGGGGATCCAAAAGTGAAAAAGAGGGTAGAATTCCACATTTGAATTTTAACCCAAATTGAAAAAACAATTCATTTTTCCTCTGCGGTGTTTCCTTATCCGATGCTTTTCCTATTTTGCACTCTCCCTGCCATACTTGAAGGAGGAGACCTGACCCACATCAAGCTGTTCCATCACTTTTGAAGTCAGGGCACATTGTTTAGCCTGGTGTTATTACAACATTAAGTGAAAGGCTGCTGCTGTCTGTGCCACCTACGTAAATGCTGCCGCACACAGCCCATCCCCAGCATGCAGAAGTAGTTATTTATTTGGGGAAGTGTGGTCTAGTGGTGAAGGGTTGTGGTCAAAGCACAAGACCAGAAGTCGGGAAGCTGCATATACCCAAGTCAACTTAGGCTTGCTTGGCAACCTTTTGTCTTTGTCTTTTCCGTATGCTGATATTTACTTAGAATCTAGTACAGTGCCTGGTGCATAGCAGGTGTTCAGTAAATATCCCTTTGTCTTTTTCTTTGTTTTTTGTTTCGTTTTGTTTTGGGGTTTTTTTTGTTTGTTTGTTTGTTTGTTTTGTTTTTTTGAAAAGGAATCTCGCTCTGTTGCCAGGCTGGAGTGCAGTGGCACCATCTCAGCTCACTGCAACCTCTGCCTCCCGGGTTCAAGTGATTCCCCTGCCTCAACCTCCCGAGTAGCTGGGATTACAGGCATACACCACCACACTGGCTAGTTTTTTGTAATTCCAAGACAGGGTTTCACCATGTTGGCCAGGATGGTCTCCATCTGACCTCATGATCTGCCCACCTCGGCCTCCCAAAGTGCTGGGATTACAGGTGTGAGCCACAGTGCCCAGGCTTTTTTATTTTTTTTATTTATTTATTTTTTTTTTTTGAGACAGGGTCTCGCTCTGTTACCCAGGCTGGACTGCAGTGGTGTGAATATAGCTCACTGCAGCCTTAAACTCCTGGGCTCAATGCTCCTACCTACCTCAGTCTCCCAAGTAGCTAGGACCACAGGCACACATCACCATGCCCAGCTAATTTTTTATTTTATTTTTTTAGAGATGTGGTCTCATGCCCAGGCTAGTCTCAAACTCCTGCCTCAAGCAGTCCTCCTATCTCTGCCTCCCAAAGTGCTGAGATTACAGGCGTTAGCCACCATGTCTGGCAATAAATATCTATTGAATGGATGTATGCATGCCTGTCCTCATCCAGGCAAGGTGAATGTAAATGGCTGTGCTTTTTGGGTAATTAGAAAGCAAACAGATAATGTTCTTTAAATCTTTGGAAAGGCTGAACAGGCTCTTTTATTCTGGGGTATGAATAGGAAAAAATTGGGAAAGACAAAATTACAAGATGTTTGGGCTATTTTCAGCTGGTACAGCCTCTGTGTAGAAAGAACACCCCAGCGGTTCATGATGAAAGATCAAACTTACCCTTGTTGCTGAGCCCTATGAGAAAGACAGCTAGTGCCTGTATATAAATACCACTTTGTCTGCAATGACAATGGCTGTGTTACCACCACCCTTTAATGTATTCATTTTAAATGTCTGGACCCAACAAGAGAGAGAGGCATTCC